TTTGAACTGAACATATACAACAGCAACAATGTGGAATCTCGTGTGTAATCCAGTTCACATGGCACTGTATATACACACACACACCCTGAGATTAACAATCACCACAAAGCCAAGCTACAAAACTGAATGATAAAACACTGCATCACAGTTCTCTACAATCTTTAAATAATATTTAAACTTGTTCATTTTGCAATTATTTATTTATCTTCTCAAGGAGAAGAAAGGGGGGAGAAAACCGTTATGGAAGAGGTATATGAAGAAACAGAAAGAATAAGGTTAATATGGAGAGATGTGTAAAAGACTTTTAGCTCACCGTTATTGAATTGGAGTGAGTTTGGGGGTGGGTCAAGACTGTGAAAAGTACCACCTTCCTTAGAAAGACTACAATCTATCTGAATGGCATAAAAGCCAGGGGGCTTATAAAGTAAAGAGGGGAAGAGAGAGAAAGTAAAGAAGGAGTGAGATTCACACTGGGGGTCTGATAAGAGGATACGAAAAAAAGAATGGGGGGAAAGAAATATAATTAACCACGAGCACAGCTCAGAGTCCCAGCATGCTTCTGTATTAATGGAAGTGCTACTGTAGATAATGTGCTGCTGCATTTCCTAGCAACTGTAAATAGTACTTTCTTGTGGATAATGGTTGAGCTATACCTTCTTCATTTTATATATGTGTACACTCAAAAAAAAAAAAAAGACATAAGCCATAAACCTACAATATTATCATTGATTTCATGAGATTTTGAATCCATATTAAATACTAATGTATCATTTGTCATGCATTTAAAAGCAAATAAACATCCGGCTGTAGCGAATTCCTCTTAAAAAGAGCTATTAGTGTAATAATATGTTTCAACCTATTATTATAACTAAAAATTTTGCTCCGCTATGCTGAATACATTGTCTTTTCTAACCTTAATAATGCCCAAAACAACCTTGAAGTATTTAGATATGCAGCAAAACAAAACACTGGTGATTGGGCCCCTGGTTATTCCTCATCAGCGCTTTAAACTTCACTGAAGTATTAAGCAAAAGACACCGTGCTGGTATAATTAACGGCTGTGTGACTGGCAGATCTGGGTTGGGTAACTGCAGCTTAATCCCCTGTTTCCAGTACAGTATTAATCCAGACATGAGGGAGCAGTGCTAACATGCTAATGTCAAAGCTGAGGCCAGTTGACAGCGGTGGCTAATCTGTAATGAAGTCCAATATATTCCCCCTTGTGACACCAAACCGTTTGATAAACCCTTATATGAGTTTGGGTTTCATATGGTTGATCTGCCATAATTACAGTTGCAGCTATGCAAACAAATTGGTGGTGGGGGTGGTGATGGCGCGATGGATAAGACTATGCCTTTGGTGTGAGAGACCCGGGTTCGAATCCACTGTGAGACACCAATGTGTCCCTGAGCAACACACTTAACCCCTAGTTGCTCCTGAGGAGTGCGACCTCTGACATATATAGCAATTTTGAGTCGCTTTGGATAAAAGCATCAGCTAAATCAATAAATGTAAATTAATAACTAAATGCTAAATGAGCATAGCTTACGAAGCCTATTCAGTGGTCAATCAACATAGGTTTTTTTGATGGCCGATGCCAATATCTTATAGCAAATTGTGGCCAATGCAAAGCTGTTATAAAAGATATCAGTCTATTTAACTCAAAGAAAGCAAACACCACAAGCACAACTGCTGCAAATAAATTTATTTTACATATGCTTGCTAAAATACTAAAATTGGAAATATTTGTTTGCGTAGTTTATAAAATGTCTGATACTGATTATTTTCTGACTACTTGCATTAAAAAGTATTATACATATTCTATTATTAGATAGAACTGTTGATGGTAAACTAATGCAGACAAAGAATGGACATCTGCACATTGATCAATTTATCAGTCAACCACTAATATCCATACCTCAATCCAAAGGTTTTGTTAAAATATACATCCAGCATTGCAATTTTCAACTGGAAATCAATTGATTACTGTTGCAACAATTTTTTACCCAAAAAAAAAAAAAATGGCGGTTAATAAATGTTAAATGTCGAACAATAGTACCCCTGGGCTGCACTAGCTGCACGCCTATGATGTATTAGCCTCTCAAGCCGGTGGAGCCTGTCAGAAAGCTGAGAACTCTCAGTATTCGCTCTCTCCCAGTGAGTATGGCGTTAATGAAAGCTGAACGCAACACTGTAGCATTTGCTGAGAGTAGGAGAGAGCGGGCAGGAACCCCTCCGGGTCTTTACCTCTATTGTTAAGAGAGGGTGAGGCATAGCAGGGGGTTAATGCCAGCGTGGGTAGCTCCTGTCCCTGCTAAATCTTGACATCATAAGGAGAAAGAGACAAAGATGGACAGAGGAGAGGGGAAAAGAAAGGTGTACCGTAGCATATATTTTTAGAAATACATGTGAATATGAGTAACACAAACATCTCTAATGTCAAACATGGCACTCCATTAAGGTCGAATAATCTAACGTAATGGATTTATGTTCCCAAATCCCAACAATCCACGAACATGAAGAAATTAGCTACCATACGCAAGGCCTTGTTTCGATTCAGAGGACAGCGTGCCAGACTGACAAACTTTAATATCCCTGCCTGGTGGTAATAGAAATTCCTTAAATATGGGCAGCCTCATATTAATCAAAAGGTTAAGAGAGAAAATCGCGGAAATAATAAGCCATTTTACATTTAATTTAGTGGCATTTTCTGATAAATTAGGAAGTGTGAGGTTTTGCATTTCAGAGATATTTCAGCATAATAAAAAGATTTTAGAAGTCACAAAAACGTCAGGCTAATTCACGTACGGCAGACTGACATGTCAACACACACACACACACTCCATTTTCTAGCACAAAAATACTGCATGCTCATACGTGCCATTTAGCACTTGCTTTTCACAACTTGCTGTTAACCACTTGCTGAGATAATGTGCCTGGAGCAACCTGGGGTGTCTTACTCGAGGGCACATTAACGATAGAGCAAGACTGTGATTTAACCTATACTTGGATTTGTGTTGTAATATAAAAAAGTATTACACTCATGCTAAAATATACAGATTATAGCACCATTACACACAAAAATGTACACATTTTGTATTAGTCAGGGTTCAACGTGAGCATTACTCACCAATGCGGATACCGACAATACTGTTACGGAAACTCTCATCAAATGCTGGTACTTTCTTTGCTCGACTAGTGTACCCTGTTGCTCTCACTAGACAAAGACTTGCATCACAAACCAAAGTTTTGACCATCAGCATTACATTTGGTGCTTTAGCTTAAAGAACCCTCAATTCAGAAATGAATTTGCCGTTTGACCGACATTAAAACAGCAATCACTTTGCCTGATTGTATGTAATGTTGAGGGATGGGCAATATAACAATCTTACAACTATCTGCAGCCAAACAAAATTCTTTAAAAAAAAAAATCAAATATTCATTCTCATAAGCATACCTATCTTTCTGCAAGAAAATCTAGAGCCATATACATTAAGTAGTCAAATTAAATTTTAATTAAGCTCATGTATTTTGGAGATCATCTGTAAATGTAATTTATGCTACAGTGCTTCAATGTAGTCCCTTTAATATTGTGAGTTTTAAGTAGTCTTTTAAGAAAAGACATACAATGATGAGTAAATAAACTATTGTGTTGTTTAAATATACAAATAAACCAACTATTTGTGTGAGTGTGGTTTCTGTACTGTGAAAATGTAACTAGGACAAATTTCTGAGTAAAATATTGAAAAGAGGCTCCTGAGGAGGTAAAATAAGATTCTTCCTTGAATAGGGATACAAACGGAACAATTTAAAAGAAAAGCAGTAGGCCAAGTATTATTAGTATAACTAAAAATAATTAATATTAAAATTATTTGTTAATCATTTTAAGACTAATAAATAATTATCCTGATGTAGGTAGGTAGTAGGTACAGTATGTAGATAGATAGATAGATAGATAGATAGATAGATAGATAGATAGATAGATAGATAGATAGATAGATAGATAGATAGATAGATAGATAGATAGATAGATCTAGAATAGCCTATAAATTAAAAGAATCCTAACATCTAGAATAGTATAAATTCTTTATAGTTTTGAATTCTATGAAACCCAAAATATTGTGCCCCACCTTTTCATCTGGTAGCTATAATCATAAAAATTAAATCAAATGCATGGCCACTTAAACTCCCGACCAACTCTATTAATGTTAGCAGCGGTTTCTCTCTAAGGGAAACTGAGTGAATAATGCACAGATGTGTCGCAGACCACTCATACACACGAACGGGGAAGCGAATAACAACACATGAAAAACACTGGATTCGAGCAGATGGTGGGGTGGTGTGTCTTCGCTGCTAAAACGGAGAAAACCCCGTGAAATTTTTATATTTACCAGTACAATTGCCGCGACGTGCAGGTGACCCGGTCGTGCGCGAGACCGTGCTCATATTTCTCCGTGAAATCTCCTCACACTGATTTAGACCCGTCTGCTGTATTCTTGCACATAACTCGTGGAAATATATATCACAATTAAAGAGTAAAAGACCGTAAAGGTCGCATTCAGTCAGTCAAGTTCACAAGCAGCGGTTAATTGGTGTCTCGTGCCCAGTCGATACTGTCAAGAATGATCTGCGCGCGGTGACGGCGGGAAGGCTCGCCTCTAAAAACGAGAAAGTCCCACGGTGTATGGATGGGAACCGAAGCCGTTTTAACGGCTGCATGTTTGTGGATGTCTGAGCTGGGAGAGCCTCGGATCAGTTACACAGATGTGCTGCGCAGGAGGAAAAAAACACCGAGCTTCTTCTCAATAACGGTTTCTCTATTTCTTATCAGGACAAGGAAAAGAGAGTTATTAACTTTATTAGAAAACGGACAGCGATGGACTGCAGTCATTCGTTTGAGAAACTGGATTCACGTCTGTATTCAGCGTATTCGAGCAAACACCCACAAACACACGCAGCTATGGACAACCGGCTATGTTTACCGGGGTTCTGCTCCTTACCTTCGTCAACGCTGAGCATGATTCAGTGTAAAATCCCCGGATAGATCATTTAATCTCTGGTAAATATGTGGGGAAAGGGTCCGGCACCGAATCCTCGCGTTTATCCTTCAGAAAGCAGAGCTCCTCGGTCGGAGACGCGGTGACTCCGGTGAGACGGGAGAAGCGCGGTGCTCGGTTACCGGGAAATGCGCGACAGCGGATGCTGAGTGAAACGGGATGCGGCTACTCATATACACAAGCACACTCGCACGCGAAGGGAGCGTCGTATTCTGAATGGTTAGGATTTAAATTCAAGTCTTCATGGATTTTCAACTGTCTGACACGTTCGGCATCACCGGGACGTACCATTCAGTGCTCGTGAGAAAGGGGGTGTGGCAGCAGGAGCGGGGAGCAGGTTGCGCGTGTTTACCGGCGCGAGCGGCCGACCCTGTGAGCACAATCTCAGTCCGACCAGTGCGCGTGCCGAGGAAACATCCACAGAGTGTGACTGATTTTCTAATAACACCGCTGCTGCACTGGATAAACACTGCCAATAATCGTTTAGGAATATGCTTTGCGGCCTAGTTAGATAAACATCTACAATGAAACACATGTTATTGGAAAAGTAACTCTAGTTATTATAAAAACATTACATACTGGGAGTTTGTGCTGTTAGCTATAAGGGCCCTTCTCTCAGCATGTGGGCCAGGGACCAAGTGTAGAGTAAACCCAAAGTCACAAGCCAGTGGTCCCCACACTAAAAATGATTAATAAACATACTAAATAATGCATTAATAAAAATGTAAAACTGTAGAAAGGTTTGAGGTATATTAAGGGATCAAAATAATTAGTCTGGTATAAAAACAAAGGTCAATAGAAAAACCTCCAAGAAAGTCTCCACCAAGAAACAAACAATTGTGTAGCCTATATGTATAGCCATATCATCACCAAGGAATATTCACCTCTTGAAACTAACCAGTACAATGGCTGGTGACATATGGCAACAAAGTTTCTGGTGGTGTGAATGGGACTTTATACTGACATGCAGTGCAACACATGAATGTAGTAGCAGACCTAGAGCCAGAGCCGTTTCTGTGCATTTTGGTTCCATAGCAAGATTCCATAGTTAATTTGCAGACACATCAATCATGTAAAAATATTTAATTTCAATATACCCTAACCTAAAGTTTTGTATTTCTGATCACTATATCTGATAACATTTGGAGAGAGAAAAAACACAAGCTAACATTCAGCAAGTTAAATGTCATTGAGTCAAATCCTCGCCACATATAAATAATAAAGCAATAAAGTATTGCAAAAAAAAAAAAAATCCTCGCCACAAAGCAATAAAGTATTGCAAAAAAAAAAAAGTTTTCAAAAGTTTTGACTACCGTGGCTCAACTATATGTTTATCAAGCGACGCGAATACTTTTTGTGCGAAAAAACAAACAAAAATAACGAGTTTATTCGACTATTTCTTTTCTTCCTTGTAGGCCAGAACGAGACTTCCTTATAGATTTCCACGACTCATGCGCGAGAATTGCAATCTGAAGTAGTGAAGGCTGGTGTGAGCAGATCGCAAATCTCGCGCATGCGTCGTGGAAGCAGGAAGTAAAACACTTAAATCCTTATTTCTCCCATCTCAGGGGAAAATAAGGGAATAAACCATGACCATTAAAAAATATGACTGGGTTTCTTAAGATACAAAGCTTAATCCAAATAGGTGAAGTGTCCCTTTAAGTCTATCAGAAGCTGACGCGCTTCTGTTTTGGGAGTGCTTTATAGTTTCCTGGTCGATGACGTCACCCATCTATGACGTTCTCGGCATTGCATTGATTTCATATGTGCTTCATGACGCATCTCAGGGCATTCCTACAGCGTATTCACGCAGCTTCTTGTTCCCTTCAGGAACCTAGGGTTATGTAACCAGAGACGTTTTTTGCTCTATTTTATTTCGTGATTCTTTATTTTTGTTTGCAAAACATATTTTTAATCTATTAATACTTTATTTTTCAATTATTCTTGTTTGCTTAATATACTTTATTGTTTTGCAAATATATGTGCATTTATAATCTCATAATGCCTGTCTATCACATTTGCATGGTTTTACAAGAATGCTGTTTTTGTTTCTGGTTACTTGTTGATGGCGTAAGGTAAATGCTGTTCAAAGCAATCAAACTGGGAACCATGTAAACATAAAAAATGAATAAAAAAAACTTCCAGAATCCATCAGAGGCACTTCCTGCAATTTTCAGGTTGTTAGCAGTTTGCTGTGCCTCTTATTTGTGACTGGATGCCTTTGACCACATTTGAAGAATTTGGGGGGGTAATTTTATGCAGACGAGGCCATTTCATGGATAGGATAGAGTGCTTAAACATGGGTTTAATGCATTTAGCAGTAACACACACTTTCTGAAGTGAAAGTGTGTATATGTGTATGTGTGTTTAGTTTAGTGTAGTTTATTGTGTTTTTTTTTCTGATGTGTGTGCGTGTGTGTCTGTGCTGACTAAATGGTCTGAGGGGAATAAGTTAACATTAGCATCTAAAAGAGTGAATCTGCGGCACTCTGAACACTTAGATCCATTATTTATGACAGGAAAATAACAGATGATTAGACTTCAGCCTGTGTGTGTGTGTGTGTGTGTGTGTGTGTGTGTGTGTTGGCTTGTACTCTGACAACATGCAGTTGGTCTCTAAACTGATTGTATAGATCTCCCAGCATGCACCTGTTCCTCTCTCAACTGTAAGTTGGGCTGCGTTCAAAACCGCATACTCAATGAGTAGGTACTTAATTTCAATAAGTACGTACTTAACAAGCTCTAAAAGAGTTTACAGCCGAATCTCGTTGAGTATGAATGCGAACTGGACAGCTGCCATGCTGACATTATCATGTGACCTACTACAATGCATTATCAAAAGCGCAACAACTTAAAGCTGTAGTCCCAAGCTTTTGGGGGGGGGTTAAAAATTTTGAGATAATACATAACCAGCCAGTGTTCAAAACTATCTGCTTGGCTCGATTCAAAACGGTAAGCTTGTAATAATATATTTAATTTCAGTGGTACTGGTGGATTTCCACGGGAGATTCAAGCATGTCTTTGTGTCATTACGTCACATCTGTACACATAAAGAAGGAGTATCGGCTAGTAGGCTATATTGCGTGTGAGGATGAGCTCTTCTGACAGTTAGGTGTCATGTCATACAGTGTGAGAAAGCCTTTCTGAGCTGCACAAATGCGTGTCTACCGTCTGTTTTATTCTGTGGTTTCACCTTCTGTAAATTACAGCAATGGAGATATGAGCTGTTTGTCATCTGAAGGTTCAAGATCCAGTCACTGTTTTCCGCTAGAGCTGCTTCCGTCAGTTTTGTGTTCTAAGCTTAACTCAAATGCTATATGCTCTTCACCAAGATATAAAAGCTGCTGTCGGTTAATGAAGATTTGGTGGATGAATTCGCTGCTCGATTAAACTCTTGTCGTGTTTATAGTGATACGCATTTATAGTTTTATGGATGTTGCCATCTTTACTTTGGTCACTGTCTCTATGGTTATTGGTAAGAGAATACAGGCATATTCCCGTTGTACGTTCATAAAGACTATTTGAGACACACACACCTGTAAGTAAATGTGGTTGTCAATCCCAAAAACTGACAGTTTGAACGTAGCCCGTGTCTGCATAAAACCTGCCCTTTTCTTGCAATTGACTGGTTGTTGATTGGATGAAGGCCGATTCCAATGAAGTACCTGCCCTACTTTTATTATTTTTGGTAGATTTTAAACCAATAAATTAACCCTGCATTTCAGTTCATGTATAGCCTAAGGCAATGCGCTCAACTTCCATTTCACTACAAACAAGACAAAGGAGGTAACATTTGATCCACTGAACAAGTGTTTTGCTGTTACGTTGTCAACATAACATTCCGATTCAAATAAATTGGCAGTAACACATTTCTCTGGCATCTAGCTTCATATAGATAGCACTAAATAGAAGGTTGCCCTGCAACCTTTAAAGTTCACACTTCAAGTGCTCTGTTCTCTGAGTAAGACTGGCATGGTGATGATCAGATTGAAAAAATTGAAAGAAATTTGCTGTGCAACCTAAGTGTACTTGGTTTTACATTTGAAAGAATAGTTTATTTGAATTTACCTTTTAATATCATTTAATTAAAACTAAACTTTAACTACACGGAATATAAACAAAAAGTCAGGAATGATATGGCCCCTCAAACACTTGACCCTAACTACAACCACATATCAAACACTCTTTCTATAAACTCACCTAAGGGATTATTAGGAAGACCATACTAATAGTGTTTTAGACCCCTTTCACCTTTTCCCCTTTCAGAGCTGCCTTAATTCTACGTGGCATTGATTCAACAAGGTGCTGAAAGCATTCTTTAGAAATGTTGGCCCATATTGATAGGATAGCATCTTGCAGTTGATGGAGATTTGTGGGATGCACATCCAGGGCACAAAGCTCCCGTTCCACCACATCCCAAAGATGCTCTATTGGGTTGAGATCTGGTGACTGTGGGGGCCATTTTAGTACAGGGAACTCATTGTTGTGTTCAAGAAACCAATTTGAAATGATTCGAGATTTGTGACATGGTGCATTATCCTGCTGGAAGTAGCCATCAGAGGATGGGTACATGGTGGCCATAAAGGGATGGACATGGTCAAAAACAATGCTGAAGTAGGTCGTGGCATATAAACGATGCCCAATTGGCACTAAGGGGCCTAAAGTGTGCCAAGAAAACATTCCCCACACCAATACACCACCACCAGCAGCCTGCACAGTGGTAACAAGGCATACTGGATTAATGTTCTTGTTCTGTTTACGCCAACTTCTGACACAACCATCTGAATGTCTCAACAGAAATCAAGACTCATCAGACCAGGCAACATTTTTCCAGTCTTCAACTGTCCAATTTTGGTGAGCTCTTGAAAATTGTAGCTTCTTTTTCTATTTGTAGTGGAGGTGAGTGGTACCCGGTGGGGTCTTCTGCTGTTGTAGCCCATCCGTCTCAAGGTTGTGCATGTTGTGCCTTCACAAATGCTTTGCTGCATACCTCGGTTCAATCAAGGTTATTTCATTCAAATTTGCTCTTCTATCAGCTTGAATCAGTCGGCCCACTCACCTCTGACCTCTAGCATCAAGAAGGCATTAAATCACCTTTCTTTCCCATTCTAATGTTCAATTTGGAGTTCAGGAGATTGTCTTGACCAGGACCACACCCCTAAATGCATTGAAGCAAATGCATAAATGCATGCCATGTTATAGGTTGATTATATAATTATTGTGCCTAATAATCCTTTAGGTGAGTGTATATATATCCTATCATTTTTTTTATTTGTCTGTACTTTTACGTCTGCTCTAGATTCTGTTCTGCTTTATCTTACTCTTGAACCTTGGCATTATGATACTACAAGTATTTTAACTCATATGATGCATTGCTTTTGATATTGCGATACACTTCTGTAACCGAAGCTAAAATTATTTGTCCATGTAATGAATTAGTCATGG